TCACACCAGCCAAAGCATTAGCCACACCTGGTAAGAAGGGAGGCACACCAGGCAAAGCATTGGTAGCAACTCCTGGTAAGAAGGGAGCAGCCATCCCAGTCAAGGGAGCAAAGAACGGCAAGAATGCCAAGAAGGAAGATAGTGATGAGGAAGATGATGACGACAGTGAAGAGGAGGATGATGACGATGAGGAGGATGAGGATGAAGATGAGGATGAAATTCAGCCAGCAGTGATGAAAGCTACTGCTGCTGCTCCTGCCTCAGATGATGAGGATGATGACGAAGATGAGGATGAAGATGAGGATGAGGATGATGACGAAGAAGATGGTAAGGCGTTCTATTGGTAGTTCTTGGGCTCTTCTCTTGTTTGCAAGGTACATTAGGGTGAGGTTGTGGAGTGGGTGGGCAACATGCAGACATATCCTTCCATGACACCATGGGGATTAGATAAAAATCCTCCCAGGGATTCTCTGTGCTGGTTGTATACTAGGGTGTTAGTTAGCCATGAATGATTGCCTGTCTCTGAGAAAATGTTTAACACAGCACATTCTATGAGTAGTTTTCATAATATAGGGTTTTGCTTCCAAATAATCTGTTAATTCTTGCTATAACTACTAAGCACAGTATTATGTATTTTTTTTTCCTTTAGATTTATCTGAAGCTATGTTGGTTTGAGGATAATTCTCTTGAGTTTTTGACTAGGTAGCTTCTCTTTCAGACTCTGAAGAAGAACCTATGGAGATTACACCAGCCAAAGGCAAGAAAGCTCCTGTAAAAGCTGTTCCTGTGAAGGCCAAGAGCACAGCTGAGGATGAAGATGAGGAGGACGATGAGGATGAGGATGATGAGGATGATGATGAAGATGATGAAGAGGACGATGAAGATGATGAAGACGAGGATGATGAGGAAGAGGAGGAGGAAGGTAATTGAGCTAGATTCTAAAGTGATTTGGTATGAGTTTTATTTAAAGAAGATACTGAATATGTGTGGCTACTTATGGATAACACAGTTTGTTTGAAATCTTGTCCAGAGCCTGTCAAAGAAGCACCTGGAAAACGAAAGAAGGAAATGGCCAAACAGAAAGCTGCTCCTGAGGCCAAGAAACAGAAAGTGGAAGGTAACTTGTCAGAATGGAGAGGGGGAGGATTTGCACCTAATAGCACAAGTGATGAACAAAAAAGGGACTTAATACTGAAACCTGATGTTACATTGCAGTATGCTGATGTGCTATGTATAGAAATTTATGTTGGAAATCAAATTCATCCCATACTTTATAAATCAGATTAATTTGAGTTAATTTTTTGTGCAGCCACAGAACCGACTACAGCTTTCAATCTTTTTGTTGGAAACCTGAACTTCAACAAGTCTGCTCCTGAATTAAAAACGGGTATCAGTGATGTTTTTGCTAAAAACGATCTTGCTGTTGTGGATATCAGAATTGGTGTGTCCAGGTAGGTATGGGGAAGTTAAGCCATTGTACTGCTAGGTCTGCTAATGCTTTTTTCCCTCCCTTTTTAGAACATTAGTACTTTACTCTTAAGCATGAATGTGTCTTCAAAGTTTAGACATTAATGAACTGTTACTTAGATTATTAAATTGTATGACCTTCCCCAATTGAAGTTTCCATAATCTCCCTTAACTTTTGATATAGCACAAAATAATTTTTAATAAGCTATGAGCTTTTATTCTTAAAAATATTTAATTTGAAACTATTAGATACAAATAACCAGATAGGATTCTCCTACCTTGATGCTTTAACAAGTTCTTTTGTTAGCTGTTATGAGCAGTGTAGTTAATAAAGACAAACTCGCCGAAACCGGTTTGGCTCAGTGGACAGAGCGTCGGCTTGCGGACTGAAAGGTCCCAGGTTCGATTCCAGTCAGGGGCACGTACCTGGGTTGCGGGCACATCCCCGGTAGGAGATGTGCAGGAGGCAGCTGATCGATGTTTCTCTCTCATCGCTGCTTCTAACTCTCTATCTCTCTCCCTTCCTCTCTGTAAAAATTCAATAAAATATAAAAAAAAAAAATAAAGACAAACTCATGCCCTAACTGGTTTGGCTCAGTGGATAGAGCATTGGCCTGCGGACTGAAGGGTCCCCGTTCGATTCCGGTCAAGGGCATGTACCTTGGTTGCAGGCACATCCCCGGTAGGGGGGGTGCAGGAGGCAGCGGATCGATGTTTCTAGCTCTCTGTCCCTCTCCCTTCCTCTCTGGAAAGTCAATGAAACATTTTTTAAAAAAAGACAAACTCAGAGGTGGGTCTGCATCAGGTCTTGGTACTTACACCTCAGTCTGTATCCTGAGTTTTCAGTGTCTTACTTAATTTTGCTAATAGAGTACGGTGCTTTTTAACTTAATCCATTTGCCCCATCGCATTAGTGTTGCTGTTTGCCTAGAATACATGTTAATGAGGGGTCTTCTGTTTTTTTAAAACTAACTTTTATCCTTTGCCTTATCACCTTAAAGGAAGTTTGGCTATGTGGATTTTGAATCTGCTGAGGACCTGGAAAAAGCCTTAGAACTCACTGGTTTAAAAGTCTTTGGCAATGAAATTAAACTAGAAAAACCAAAGGGAAAAGACAGTAAAAAAGGTATGTACTGCTTTAGGTAATTGTGATACTGAGAGGTAATTCCTTAATTGATATATTTCTAGACTGACCAGGTTAAATAATTGCTCCCCCCCACCCCCAGTGTTGTGAGGATTAAATAAATTAGGATGTTAAGTGTTTACAGTAGTGCCTGGCAGTATTTGCTGGTGCTAGAAATTCCTGAGTCAGCAAACAAGAATGGACTAATAAAAAATAACTGTTTAGCTCTGGCCAGTGTGACTGAGTTGGTGAACATCATCCCATGCACCAAAAGGTTGCCTGTTCAAATTCCCAGTCAGGACACATGTCCAGGTTGCAGGCTTGATTCCCCCAGTTGGGGGAGGGGGCGGGGTGCGTGCAGGAGGCAGCCAATTGATGCCTCTTTTCCTAAATTTTAAAAAAACCTCAAAAGAAATATAGCCTAGCCATCATGGCTCAGTCAGTGAGCGGAGACCTATGAACCAGGTGGTCAGGGTTCCATTCCTGGTCAGGGCATATAAATGGCCAGGTTGTAGGGATGATTTTTATCATTGATGTTTCTAATCTCCCTCCCTCTCTGAAATCAATAAAAATGTATTTAAAAAATTGTATAATTGTTTAGATGTACAGGCATACCCTAATATAGGGAGATCTTTCCTCACTGGAACTAGATCAAATCCCTGACTATTTCTGTATCTCTCATACTTTGTCATGATTCATATGTGTTCATGACTCTTTTTTTAAGATTTTTAAATTGATTTTTGAGAGAGATCCATCATTCGGCCACCTGGAAGATCAAGCCCACAACCCAAGCTTGTGCCTTCACCCAACCAACTGAGACACACCAGCCAGTGCTGCTCATGACTTTAAATTTAAAATGCCCAGCTGGTGTGGCTCAGTGGTTGAGGATTGACCTATGAGCCAGGAGGTCATGGTTCGATACCCGGTGTGGGGTGTGTAGGAGGTAGCCAATGCATGATTCTTTTATCATTGATGTTTCCATCTCTCTCCCTCTGCCTTTCTCTCTGAAATCAATAAAAATATATTTAAAAATATATATTTTGATTTCAGAGAGGAAGGGAGAGAGAGAAACATCAATGATGAAAAAGAATCTTGGATCGCTGCCTTCTGCATGCCCTGCACTGGGGATCAAATCTACAACCCAGGCATGTGCCCTTGACCAGAGTCAAATCTGGGATCCTTCAGTCCATAGGCTGTTCTCTACCCACTGAACCAAACCAGCTAGGGCGAAAATACATTTTTGAAACAAACTGCTAAGCACCTACTAGGTTGAGTTCCAAGTATCCAGCACATAGTTTGATGTCGGGTGTGACAGGAGCTTGTGTCTTGCTACTGCTGTATTGCCATACTATTGGTGTCTGTCTTGTACACTTATAGGACCCCAAATTA